GTATGTATCTATCATCTATGCATGCATCTATCATCTATATATGTATGTATTTATTATATATGTATCTATAATTTATGCATATATCAATCATCTATGTATGTATGTATCTAAAAATCATCTGTTTGTATCTATCATCTCTGTATATATGTATTTATCCATCATCCATAATCTACATATGTATCTATCTATCATCTATGTATGCATATATCTATCATCTAGTTATGTATGGATCTATCATCTATGTATGTATATATCTATCAATATATCTTCTATGTGTATTTATATATATATATCACTTTTGTATCTGTAATCTTTGTATATATGTATTTATCACCTATATATCTATATATCAATAATCTATATATGTATGTATCTATAATCTATATATCTATCATCTATATGCACATATGCATCTGTCATTTATCTCTCTACAACAGTCAGCTACATAAAAGAAATAGTTGAAGTTGTGAAACTGAATGAGATTTTTGGGGGAACAAATATGGGAGATGACTAAGGGCAGAGCCAAGGACAACAGACATATGAAGTGATCAGAAAAAGGATGAAGACCCATTAAAGGAGAAAGAAAAGAAATGCATAGAAAGAGAATTAGGATAGTGTAGTGTTTCTGAAGGTGATGGAGGACAAGATATCCAGTAGGAGATAATGAGCCATGTTAAAAGCTGCAGAGGGACCAAGGAGGATGAGGACTGAAAATACCACCAAATCTGGCAATTAAGAAGTCAGTGATCATCTTTAAGAGAGTAGTTTCAGTAGAGTTGTAAAAATGGATGTCAGATTACAAGGGACTGACTACGAGTTGCTTATGACTAAGAAAGCATTCAGTAAAGGATAATGAATTTTCCTGTACTCTAGCCTACCAATTCAACAGCATCTACTTTGGGATATAATGATTATATTCCTTAAGCCTTTTTTTTTAAACAGTATGTCTCATAGGGATCATTTTCCCAGTTTTCCAGATGAAACTGAGACTCAAAGAATTAGTGACTTGCCCACAATCATATAGTTAGTAAGTATTGAGGGAGAAAGTTGAACTTCAGTCTTCCTAATTCCAAGCCCAATAGTCTATTTACTATGTTATTCTGCATCTTGCCTCTTTTATGAACCACCCCTGAATCAACAATCTTTATGAACTCCAGGAGAAATGGTCTTCTTAGTTTAAAATGTTTTGCTATTTTCCTTATTTTTTAAAAAAGCACTGTCAATAAAGATATAGTTTTCTTAATTGTAAAAGAGATACTAATAATAGCTAACATTTATATAGTTATTTAAGGTTTGAAAAATATTTTATGTATATTAATTCATTTGATCCCTACAAAAATCCTGGGAGGTAGGTACTATTATTATTTCATTTTACAGATGAGGAAACTGAGGCAAGGAGAGGTTTATTGACTTGCCTAGTATCATAACACAACTGTGTGAGAGAAAATTCAAACTCAAGTTTTCCAGTCTCCCAAGTCCTGTGCTCTATCCACTGAAATATCTAGCACAGGAAGACCTTTTCTATCCTACCTTATTCCAACATCAGTCTTTAAATAATTATCTAATGAGTGGTACTGTAGAGTTTTTTTTTGCCATATACTTATTCAAAACTCCAAAGAATAATTATATTCTATAATAATATTCTGTAAAGAATAATATATTCTATAAAATATCACTACCTAAAGAGAATATCTACTTTTTTCCCCTGAAGAAACATAATAAGGCAGGAAGTTTGGGAGGAAAGGTATGAACTAGAGTGTAGAATTTTTTTTAATATTGTCCTTTCTTCATTATTGTGAAATCACATATTTGTCTTTAATCTCACGTCTTGTTTAGAATACCCAAAGGGTAGCCAGTTTATATACCATTGTCCATGACAAGATTTCAAAGGGTCTACTATTTTGCAGCATCATTTTATTGGCTTAAAATTGCCTTAGGCTGCATAGTCTGGCAGTGAAGGGCTAGTTAGAAAGACTCCTCAATCGTAAGCACAAAGAAACGGGCAGGAAATTCTAATCCTGATACTCTCACAAACTTCATTTCGTTAGGTTTAAGGAAACTTTACCAGTGGCACCAGGAGTGCGTGATGGTAAGAAACAGGACAAAATAAGAGCAGTCAGACTGCCTCCCCAGAAAACAATTTAGTATGGAGATAACACTGCTCTGAGCCACAGGAGAACAAACGCCTGAATCACCATGTATAGCATAGCAGTGTGTGACTCCATTGATACTACCATAGTGTCTTTAGGGTACATTAGTTGATTCTATAGTAGAGTGTACACGTTATCTTTTGCAGAACATGTCATGGCTAACTGTCCTTAATCAAGCAGACAGACCATGCTGTTTCTGGTACAGAGATTTCAGGTGGCCAGTATACCACATCCCAATTGCCCATATGCTTTATGGAAGCTTCTCTCTCCTTATTATGGTTAACAAGCAGGAGGTGACTACATAACTACATCATGGTTGAATACCCTCAGGTAATGGCCCACAATATTCAGTGCCACAGACTGGTATCGCTGGTTTCTAGGTTTTGAGGTCTCCCTAAGAAAGTAATAACAAAAACACAGATCTGGCTTTAAAGCACAGGTTCTGAACTTTGACATGGTCAAGAAGGAAAGGAGAAAATGATAGGGATGCACTCACAGGATCTTACTCCAAAGCCAAACAATACCATGTACACATTTTGGAGTTTCAACACATATCTATCTCTAGAGCTATCATATCCTCTATAAACTTATCCCTTTTATCTCAATCCTGAGGAATTTCTGCCTTCAAAAATACACAGGGATCTCCAGGACTTCACTTGACCTTGATCCCACTCAGCTAACTTAAACTTCTTTCCTTCATTCCATCCACTGATGAAATTTTGAATGAATAGTCTAGATACACACTAACTCCATTTTCTCTCCCCCCACCTTCTCCTCATTCCCCTACCTCTGCAACATGACTTCTCTTCCTACCATTCTACTGAAGCCATGCTAGTTGAAGTCACCAGCCTTCTTGCCAGGATAAATGGCCTTTTCTCTTCCTCATACTCTATGATCTTCCCATTATCATTTATAATATTAATATTTTGGGAAATTGCACAATTCATTTGATGACATCAACTGCCCCCTGGAAAAAATAGGCCCATCTTTTCAGTACCAATATTCTGCTGATGATATGGTATGGCTAAGAGACATGAAAGAATTCTCTGAAGAACTGAAACACAAAGGGTAATGGAAAATTTCCAATGGTAGGTCACTGCTTTGATCAAAAAATTTAGTATCTATCTAAAAATCTTAATTCTGCTGCCTAACTTTTAAGGTTCTTAGATTATGACACCACTCTACCTTTTTAACCTCAATTTCTATTGCTGCTATTACTATTCCCTAAAATACTTGCTTTGGTCAGGCCAATTTCCTCTCTATCCTTTCCATATATGGTTTATTTCTACCCGTGTTCTTTTTGGTCATTCTATTTCCCACATCTGGCCAGATGCCCTCCTCTTCTATGGTTCCATGCAAATCCCATTTTCTCCCTAAAACTTTTTGTGATTCCCTGAGACTTCATTTATCTCTCTCACTTTTCGACTCCTACATAAGTCAGTTATACTCTAAAATGATCCCTATAATTGTATGCTAAACCTTGAATCATTTCATTCAACAAACATTTAATAAGAATGCTGCCATGACACAAAGACAAAAACTGAAAATCTCTGCTGCTCACAAGGAACTTATAGATAATGCTCACTATCTTTGTTCTTTACCCAATGGCTTTGCACAAAGTAAGCACTCAGTAATTTGTTGTTGTTGTTGTTGTTGTTGAATTTTGTTGTTGAAAGCACCAGAATCAATGTTATTTAAACATTTCTTCTGCATCTATTATCCTTGGCAAAATCTAAAAACAGTGAAATTCTCTTTCTGTAAGCTGTATAATGAGCTTCATCTACCTGATTTCTTCTGAAAAATGGAGGTAATAAACTACACAAATAGTATGGCATATCAATTCAGTATAGTAATATAATATATATCATGTATAATAATATAATGTATAATATATAAATAATATAATGTTATAATATGTTATTATACAAAGTGTCTGATGTACTGATTATAACTGCTCTGACAACTCAAATGCTACATGAAAATTTTAAGATGATAAAAATGTCCAAAAAATGTTCTTTTAAAAAAAATCTTAACATAGTTATTTGAGTGGTTATAACCATTGTATACATACAGGTTCAATGGATTTCCTAGTATTTGAGCTCTTCATAAATGACATGAAGAGAGAAAAATATCACTCTTAAATGTAAAAATGAATCACAATTCAGTGATATTTAATTTCTACTTTAATCCTATCATATATTTAAACTCATTGGTTCTTACTGAGCTCTGTGACTTTTTTCCCTCATTACCATAAACATTTAAAATTTTTCATTTTCAGTAATATAATTTCTGTTTCAACCTAAAATCAGGAAAAAAAAGGTAGCAGGGACATAAGAGGACAAATGAAATATGACAAATTTTATTTATTTATTTTCTTTTTAGTATAAAACTCCACTAAATAAATCAAACAACAACAACAAAATATAAATAGTGGCAATATCATGGAGTCAGTAGCATCCTGGACTTGGAATCAGGAAGATCTGGGTTTGAACTCCACCTTTGATACAACCCAGCTGTGTCACCCTATGTAAATCATATAACTTCTCTGGCCCTCAGTTTCCTCATTTCTAAAATGACAGCGTTGAATTCAATGACCTCGTGGTTTCATTTTAGCTCTAAATCTACGATCCTATGACGAGAATATAGTTTGAAATCAACTCATTTAAGAAATACTGGGAAAATAAAATTGCTCAGTTCTAAACTGAGCCATATCTTGTCATTTCTAGATTGTCAGATTATTTACCTCCAGTAAGCACTTGTTCTGCTCAGTTCTTCATATTTCTTACAGCAACAAAGAAAGTCATTAAAAAAAAGAAAACCTCCTAGTGAAAGAGAAGGTTCTATACTTACGAATATTGTGTCAGGAGTTCTAAATCATTATTCATGTTGATTGGATATGCCTCACTGAGCTCAAACAGCTTCTCTAGAGCCTCATAAATGAAAATTATGCAGATAAGAGAAGCAAAAGCTTCTTCAGTAAATCGGGTTATGTAGCAGACCAGAGAGCTGGCATCAGTGGCCACAAGGATGATGCAGAGAGTTGCGGTCCAGAGCCCGATACTAGCTCGCAAGGAGAGGTATGACAACCCGTATTCTCTAGCGGGAGAAAAGAAAGGAAGAATAAATTGAGTGGCCTTTACCTTATCAATTCTCATTCTAGATCCCTGGAAATGAACTTGTCAGCAACCGTGGTTAAATGGGTCTGAAACCCCTTGTCTCTTTGAACTTAATTCCTTACCTAAAAATAACTGCATTTCAGTAGATAAAACTGAAAGCACCTCCTAAATAGGAACTATGAGCTATTCTACATAAACCTCCTGGGAGCTCCCCACTCCATTCACGGCCACCCCTGTTCCCTTTCTGGTAGAGTTGCAGTGATGGTGAAATGAATCAAATTAAATCCCACCCCTCCCCCTTGCCTGGCTTGATCTTTGTTCTCAAACTACAAAATACTTACTTGCAAAACTTAAACAATATCTTTTCAAACACCAGTACAGGTCCTGTGCTGCCTAGTATGGTAAGAGGTTGGCCACCAAAGAGAGAATATGCTATCCCAGTCATAGATGCTCCAAATAGAGATTCGATTGCACTCTGTGTGGAAACACAAACGAGTATTTTTCATCAATTGTAAGGACAGACATCAAGTCCAAAGATGAGATACTTACAATAAATAGGCATGTAACTTCTATTTTATTTTAAAAGACCCAACAGACTTGTCCTAGGCCAGAAGGGGAGTTGGCAATTGCACAGAAGATGTTGTGTTAAGGGCAGTGACTGGGGAAGGACCCTCTCCACCCACCATTACTTTTTTGCTCTTCTAGTTTGATATGTTCAAGATAGAGTCTATCTGGTAGGAGGTGGACATAATGCCAGGAATGGGGGGAAAAGGCTAAAAAAGGGGGAATTTTTGTGTTAATGATGGGTTTAGAATCAGGGTTGGGATTAGATTAGGACCTAATGTAGGATCATTTCTCTTACTAAATTATCCATGAAATGACTCAGAATGGGACCAAACAAATGTTTCTTTATAAAGGAATCCAAAGTAAAGGCTTTGCCAACTAACTATAGATCTCAGGAAGTGACTGCACTTTAAAGTTTGGAGAAAAGGGTAACACATACTATACGACCTTCGGTTGCTTCTCCCAGCAGCCCTCCAAATGTGATGACAGGAGACATACACGCGCAGTAGAGAAACAGAAACGATGCTAAGCACTGCAGGCTGAAAGCATCTCGGAAGTCACTCCAGAAGTATGGAGCTTTCCTTTTGATATCTAAAATAAGTCCCCCAAAAATCCTAAGATAGGGGGAAAAACAAAACAGTGAAACCCAAATATAAAAGAAGCACACAAACAAAACTGTTTATCTGCTTGGCTCCCAGGCCAGAGAGCAGCTTTTCCATCTTCACAGGTGAGAGCCATTAATGACCTGCTTTGTTTTAGTAGTAGTGTCTTCAAGCATACTTCCTGTCCACTAGAGCTCCTTAAACCCTAGCCAAGTACTGTGCCAGAAGGCAAGGAAGCCCAAGGTCTTTCAAAGCGTGTTCAGAGATGCTCATCCATCAGCATCAAGATCGTGAGATATAAGGGTATATAGCCTGTGGACTCTATGTCAATCCCACCAAAACCCACTCCTCCTAGCCCTCTGCCTGCCCACCTCTCTTTCTATGTCTCTATTTCTGTCTCTCCTCTCTCTATCTCACTGTGTCTCTCTGCCACTGCCTCTATTTCCCTGTCTTTCTGTCTCTTCACCTGTTTCTATTTTTGTTTTTGTCTCTTGTCTCTGTCTCTCTGCATCTGTGTCTCTTTTTCTCCTCCATCTGTGTCTCTTTCTTTTTCCTTCTTCTTCTGTCTTTGTGTTCTGCCTCTGTCTTGTTGTTGTCTGTCCCTCTGTGTCTCTTTTTGTGTCTGACTCTGTCTCTCTACCTCTGTTTCCTCTTTCTGTCTCTCCATCTGTTTCTATTTCTGTCTCTGTCTCTTTTTTTTCTGTCTTTGTCTGTGTCTCTGTTTCTGTCTCTGTGGGTATCTCTCTCTCTGTCTCTCTCTGCCTTTGCCTGTCTCCCTCTCTTTCTATCTCTCTTTCTCTGTGTCACTTTTCATCTCTCTATTTCTATTTCCATCTCTATGTCTTTCTATCTCTGTCCGTTTCTGTATCTTTCTGTCTGTTTCAGTCTCTTTTTCTTTCTGTTTGTTTCTCTGTCTCTCTGCCTGTTTCTGACTACCTCCCTCTGTCTCTGTCTCTTTTTCTCTGACTACATCTCTGTTCCTCTCTGACTCTCTCTCTCTTTCTCTTCCCGGTGCTACTCTTTACTTCTCTCTCTCTCTTTTTAAATCTTTTAAAAATCATAATAGGATATGAGGAGTGGGCTAAGTTGACTATCTGTTAATGAATACTACATGAGAAAAAAAAATCAGAGTTTATCAGAGCACCAGTCTCCTTCATCTCCCTCCCAAATAGTTTCTCACTAGGTACTGTTCTATCCAGGCCAAACTCTTCCTCCATAGGGTCTTTCCAGGTTTCTAGTTTCAATTTTTTTTAAAAGATCAAGGAATTGGAGAGGAGACACATTATGATGGCTGGCTTAAAAAAGTACAGTTTGAATTCACTACCCCCTAAAAATTGTTTCCAAAATTTAGCATTCAGGGGCAGCTAGGTGGCAGGAGGACCTGAGTTCAAATCCGGCCTCAGACCAAACACTTGACACTTACTAGCTGTGTGACCCTAGGCAAGTCACTTAACCCCAATTGCCTAAAAAAAAAAAAAAATTAGCATGCACAAGACAAGTCTTCTAACTTTCTAAGAGAGAAACTCATAGAATGTTAGAGTTGGAAGGGACCTTGGGTTTCATCTATTCCAAAACACTCAGTTAAAGATGATAAAATTGAGTTTTTAAAGGTGAAGTGACTTGCCCAAAGCCACAGCTCGTTAGCAGGGGAGCCTAAGCCTATTAGGCTTATATATATACATAGCTTCTATATAGAAGCTAAGCCTATTGACTTCCAGTCCAGGGATCATTCCACTACATTATACCACCTGGAAATGACTCAGATAGAAAACCACAAATCCAAACCATTTCATCTTAGTGTAAAAGAAGAGCACTTTGGAAGCACTCTGAAAACGTTACTTCAATGAATAAGAATAAAAACATTAAATTTTAATATGAACTTGCCTGTTAACACCAGATAGTTTATTCATTTGAATTACAAATAAAAGTCTGTAGCTTTAACTTGGTTACTGAAAGCTCTTTAGTTTCAACAAAATAAAGGAAGTAAGATGTCATATGCTAAAATAATTAACAATCGATTGTTCCACATTAAGGTCAGACATGAAGTACTTGTTAGATTCAATCGCAGTGTGGTATGCTGTACATGCTTTCATTTGAACAAGATAATTCTGTTTTAGCTACTTATTTTTAGGCGTGAAGGAGTTCATTTAGTGACCTTAGACTCTGATCTGAAATGATGTTTTTAAAAAATTGTCAGCTCTGAGAAAATATACCTTTAGAATTATTGAATGCTTGGGTCAGCATTGTTTTTAATTGTCCAGACAATCCTGGAAGTAGAGGCATGAATTGTTTCCAAATAAGAATCACTAGAATTAAAGCATTTACCTTAGGGGGTTGTTGTGATAATCAAGTGAGATAACATGTGAAAAAAAAAAACACTCTGCAAACCTAAAAGCATCATTGAAACGCTAGCTAGAGCTAGAGCTTTAGGCAGGGCACATGCCCACTGGGGTTAAGGTTAAGATGGAGAGGGGATGTGGAAAGAATAGGGAGGAGAGAATCAAATTGAATTTTCAAATTAGTTTAAGGGGAAAGGTTTAATGAAATCTCAAACCCTGAAAGGCTTTAAAAAAAAGTGCATGAAATTCAGACACACAGACACAAACAGGATCTTCCTTGGGTTTTTCCACCCCCATTTTGAAATGTAACCTCTTTACCCCCCTTTTTTTTTGGTCTCAGTTTTATGACTTATTGCCTTGCCAAAATCATTATTAAAAACTGATTAGATCTACCCATAATTAGTAATTATTATTTACAGTTTCTTCTGTACTTTCTATTAGCTAAGTGCATTCTACTTAATTATTCATTAGCACATACATTAGTGTGAACTAATCATTACATTACTATATAACAAATGTGTTTTTAGCAGTTTAAAAAAAAACACACTAAATCCGGAAGTGGGAAGTCATTACAGAGAACAGTGCAAGAGCAGCTCAGATGTACACCAGCAACTCCAGGAGAGCAGATGAGTAATGGGTACTTCAAGTCATGTCAGCAACAGAATCTGTGGAAGAACTCTGGAGAAGCGAAGAGACCGGATATTGGTGACCTGGGAGGATTTAGGAAGCAGTAAGGAAAAAGTGAACTTTGAAAAAAATCTAAGCTATGAGGCACAGTAATACCTGAAAAAGCAATAAAAATATGAAAATAAAAAAGGGAGGAAAAAAGAAAGAAAAAGCAACATTTGAAAGAATGAAAGCAAACACAATGAGTAACAAGGTTTCCCATGGGAAGAAGACATCATTTGAACTGTCTCATATACTGAGATACTGAGCCTGAGGAGAAAGTTAAAAGATATATCTCCTTTGAGACGAAACATAGATAAAGGGATGGAACACTTAGATGGGAATATTAAAATGCATAGAGATTTCAAGGACTAGAAAATCAGCTTATAACACACAGGGCACATGGCAAAGGGAATGGTCTGAGGGGAGGGGCGAAAGACTCCTTCTTTTGAATAAGCATATGTCAGGATTTGTGCTTCTGGTGGAGACTGTATACACTCACATCCCCTGAAGAGCCGCCCACCCAGTGGTTCTTGATTTTCTGCTCACACATTGCTTAGAGAGAGACAAGCTGTCAAAAAAATCCTATAAAATGCCATTTTAAGAAATAAATTGAAGCTTTCATCTCTTCAAAGGTGTGTGATTAGAAAAATAAATCATACGACCCTCTCAAATCACAGCCTTAAAAATCTAAAATGTCATTTACATCTACTTACTGCTTGCTTTACTTGCATTTGCTAAGACAGGATCTGGCAAAAGCGAAAAGACTGGCTTTTTAAAAATTCTATTATGAACTTGAAACTTTCAAATGGTAAGAGGGCATGTGTGACAAGGTCAATTGAGGCCCTCTCTCTTTTTTAGAGGATTCTCTGTGAAGGAATTTGGTACATGACAATATGAAATCCTGAATAGGGAAAATCTCACTGACTTCTATACAGAATTCTTGCAGAGAAAGGCAGTGGTAATCACCAATACCATCACAGAAAAAAAATCGTCATTTTCTACCAAAGTTTAGGCATTAAATAGGCAAATAGAGTTAGATCTTGAAATTGCAAGTTACTGGCAATGACAAGTTCAGTTTCAATAGATTCCCAGATGAATGCTGTTTGCTAACCTTCCAGTTCGTTGCAGTTCAGGCCCGCTGTGCCCACCATGAGGTTCTGCTTCACCATGAGCTGCTGTTCCATTGGGCACAGTAGGAATCTTCCTCTTCTCCTATAAGAAGGAGAGTTCAAGCATTTCACGGTTTATTTGTCTTTCCTAAGCCCAGTGTTTTTTTTTATCTGCCACTCAGGTGCTCTGACTGTACCTCCTCCCATTCACAGAACTGCTCAGAATGTGTCAATGCCTTTCTCTATCTACTCTCCAACCCCTGAAGAAGTATTCTTACAGAGAAAAATAGAAAGATGAAAACCAGGTCAGTGGAAAATGGAACAAGTTCCACAGACATGTTATTCCCACCCCTTGCCTCCAGTCCAGAGCACACACAGTCTATTGACACAGGTGATGGACCAGAAAAATTCTGTTTGTGACTTCAGAATTCATACGTAACACATTCAAATGTGGCTAAAAAAGGTGTGCTTTTAAATTTTTTGTTTAAATTCTTTCCAGAGTAGAGTTAGAAAGGAAATGAAGGTCAAATGTAACCTGACAAATAAGTTTCATCAAAATAGGAATTTGTTAATGAAACACTAGAAATTTTAAACAGGAGAAAAATAGGTTTTTAACACAAAGAATGTATGGGATATTTACTGCAGAATCCTTTAGTGATTTCTGCAAGTATTTAAATGCTATATCAATAGTAAGAAATACTGAAGTTGAGTGAATGAAAAAGTTGATCATTTGACAACTGACAAAGAAATTGTGCTTCGTGGTCAATGTGGAGGATGAATTAGAGACCATTAAAAAGTTGGCCTTCTGCTTTCATTTCTCAAGGATCATTCACATACTTCTGAAAGTTACATATATTTTCATTGGTCTTTAGGAGAATTCTCTATGATTGGCTAATTAGGCCCCTGGTTTGCAGTAAGAAAGATGATTGGTAAGAAGGTAGGAAATAAGACAGTGTCCAATAAATATCTAGTATGTTGGTCAATTTGAGCAAACTTTGCTTCAAGTAGGGTATGCTCAATTATATTCTTTGTTCACTTCTACACCCAATTTTCTACAAATAGTGCAACTTCTGAAAGTATGTTTATCAGCTGTTATCTAACAGTCATTTCAATGGCAGCATTTAGACTAGATCTGACAGGTTTGGGTAAGGCCAACAGCAGTGATAAGGTTGGAGATGATGGGAGCAAATGAAAAGTAAAACGCAGTTGTTATGGAGACAGCAATGGTGGGGATAGAGCACCAACTCTCAACATCTAGTAATGACTTTGAGAGAAAAGCCACCCAAGACAACAGTAACAATATATTTAACTTTCATGTTTCTGGGACTTATCAATACTTAATTTGGTATAATTTCACATCATACATTTAAAAGAAATCTTCCCAAAAGGATGAAATTTTAATTAAATTCCTTTTACCCATGGTTCTGTGAAGCATATAAAACCTGTCAAGAACCTCCTATGTAAGACAGTTAATATAACCTTACTGTCTATCAGACCACGTGGAACTTAAAATTTTCCCTACCTCTTCCTAACATTTTCCGTTTTCACAACAAAGATAAAGGAAGAAGCCAATGAGCACCATGAATCTGAAGGACAGTTATGGACTTCTTCTAGGAGCCATAATTTCAAAATTTATCATAATTCCTACTTTCTAAGAGTTTAATTTATTTCAGGCTTGCTCTAGTTTCTTTCAAGTCACACTGGACCATTAAAAAATGGCACGCAATCCATCATTAACAAAAAGCATTTATTAAATACTTGACTATACTTGGCTCTGTGCTAGAGAGTACTTTTGTGAACTACAGATACAGGCCACTGGCTTTTAGGAACTTGTACTGTACAACAATGCAGTCTTTTACTGGGCATGGTGGTGCATTCCTGTTATCCCTACTACTAAGGGAGACTAAGGCTGGGGGGATCACTTGGGCTCAGGAGTTCTGAGAAGCAACAGGCTAAAATGATCATGTTTAGCACTAGGTCTGGCATCAATATATTGAGCCCCACACCAGGCTGATTCAGGAAGAGTGAATAGACCCAGGTCAGAAAAACAAGCAGATCAAGGATCTGGTCCTGACCAGTGCTGGGATTAGACATATGAGTAGCCATGGGTGAGATAGGGAGACCCATTCTCCAAAAAGAAAAATGAAAAATAGTTTGGCTCTTATTGGGTTATTTTCAAGGTACACGTTAACGGAAAACAAGCTCTGAAATCTTGCTACTATAGGCTACTTTAACATATACATACCTGAGAAGGAACGTTTTTTGGGGGCTCTATTCGAATGGTTGGGTCCCACTCTCCAGGAGGAAGAACAGTAACCTGATCAAGAAACTCATCAATTCCTGCAAGCAAGTCATTACGATCCTTAGCTTTATAGGCAACATCATGGAAGACCTATGGTAAGAAGACAAGGTGGCCTTTATTTACACATAAAACAGAACATTTCATAATTATAACAAGTGTTATTATCCTCCCAAAATTTAGAACTTAGATACATTTCCCCCCCTTGGCAAGATGGTGTGGTTCAGTTGGGAGACAGTAGAAGAAATTAAAGCTAGAAATAAGGATGTAAGCAGTCCAAATTCCAGTTAGTTGTGAACAAAATCAATTCTAATTCCACACTAAAAATTCGAGAAATGACTTTGTAAGTAAGATTTGAAAGTAATGGCATTACTTAGACATTGCATTCACAAGAATAAGGGAAAATAATTTTGAGTTCAGAAACAATAATGAGTTTTGTCACAAATGAAGATCTTCTAGAAATCTATTATGCCTGCATGATGCTCAAGCAGTACATCTCTGATGACGATGGTGATGATAGCTAATATTTATATAGCTCTTTAAGATTTGAAAATTAATTGAATATAGAATCTTCATTTGACCTTCACAACAATCCCGGGAATTAGGTACTGCTATTATCTCCATTTTATACATGGGGAAAACAAGGCTGAGAGAGGTTGAATTCCTTGCCCAGAGTTACACAGCTAGTAAGTGTCTGAAGCAGGATTTCGATTCAGGTTCAACTCAGTCCAGCAGTCTAGCCACTGAGTTAAGTTACCTTCTATTTGCCATATGAACCATACTCTGCTCATACATACACATATAAAACCAAGGTAATATCCAGTGATAGACTAAACATAAATTAATGGTAAAGAGAAAAAATTGGTTCCCACTAATGGATAATCAAGGAAAAAAGACTATGAAAAAAGTAGAATAACCAAGATTTGGGATGCCCATTCCTATTTCTAAATATTTGTCTAAGGAATTTGTTTGAGAAGAGTTAGAATTCACAGAACACGTTATTTCCATTCTTACCACCATAAAATATAATCCTCAAAATAATTACTGTTCACTATATTTCATATAGGACATGACTCTTTGAGGACACTCACTTTATCATATATTTGGACCCAAATATTGATTATCAATAGAATTTGGCTTCATGCCTGCTGACCTTTATCTGACCTATTTGAGGACAATGCCTTACAAAAGATTCTGTAACTACTGATGATGACTAAGATGCAAACTGCTTTGCTTGACTTTCCAAGAAAATGTTGAGATAACATAAGAGTGATATATATTGAGCTTTGGTCTAATGTAATGGAAAATCATTAAAAAATCATTATTCCTCTAATTGTGCTCTAGAAGAGACTTACATATTAGAACTCCAGAAGTATACTGCCAACATCCACCTATTTCATCAAAATCAATTAAAAAGCATTTATCAAGTGCCTATCATGTGCCAGCCATTTTGCTAAATGCTGGATATACAAATACAAAAGTAAAACAATACTTCCTTTCAGGGAGCTTACATAAAGGAGGGACAACAGATATATGTATAAATAGACACAATATGTACATATATAATGTATGACATGAATATTAAGTATATATATATTATGTATACATATATTGGGATAGATAGGTTTATGTTCTTATATAATGCATATCATATATATATATTATGTACATAGATTGGGATAGATAGGTCTGTATTATTATACAATGTATATAATATGTAATATACATACATGTATCATATATGTGCACATTATAGATAATATGCAACAATATATGATATAACACAGCATACATGATATGTGTATTATAGTTTATAGATAATGTATGTAATATATAGTGTGTTATATATATCACATTTATACATATAAAACATACCTTGTGATACTTTATGTATATTAATTATATCATGTATACATATATGCATTATATACTTATAATAGGTACACATAATATACATAAAGTATATTATTATATAGTATGTTACTATATAATACACACAATATGTGTAATTTATAATGTGCATACATAACACATATAATATGCATCCATGTATATAATACACATGTGTGTTACAAAATATGTATATATTATATTGAATTAGATAGATAGACAAATGGATAGATGGACAGAGATGAGTAAATAGACAAAAGGAATGCGTGGTAGTTTGGCAAGAATGCATGAACATGGGGCAGACAGATGGAGCAGTGGATAGAGCACTGACCCTGAAGTCAGGAGGACCTGAGTTCAAATCTGGCTTCAGCCCAAACACTTGACACTTACTAGTTGTGTGAACCTGGGCAAGTCACTTAACCCCAATTGCCTTAAAAAAAAAAAGAAAGAAAAAAAAGAAAAAGAAAAAAAAAGGAGTGCATGAACAACTAAGGGATCATAAAAGGTTTCAGATATAAGATGTTGCTTAAGCTCAATGTTAAAGGAAACCAAGCGTTCTGAAAGGTGGAGGTGAGGCAGGAGGGTGCTGCAGGCATAGGCACAATTGGTGCAAAGACACTGAGCTAGGAGGCAGAAGTTGAGTGTATGAAACAACAAGTTGGTCAGTATAGTTTGATCGTTGTAGGGGAGTAATGTGTACGAAGACCAAAGAGGATGGGACCATGCCATGAAGGGCTTGAAATGTCAAACAGGAATTTCTACTTGATCCTCAAGGCAACAGGGAGCCATGGAGTGTATTAAGGAGAGTGACAAGGTCAGACTTGCACTTTACCCAGTGTGTGGAGGATGGAATAGGGGTGGGGATGGGGAAAAGGGACACTTGAGGAAGAGAAAGGAAATAAAAGGCCATTGCAATAGTACAAAGGAGAGGTAATGAAAGCCTAAACGAGGGTGGTAGCTTAGTGAGTACAGGAAAGTATGTAGGACATGTTATGAAGGTTGAAATAAGACTTCATGTGGAATGAGCAAGACATGAGTTGAGGAGGATGCAGTAAAAGTTGCAAACCCCAGTGTCCCAAGAACCACTTCCTTCTTTCTTGTGATAGTCACAATGCCTAGGAAGTCTTTTTTCTTTTTGCCCCCATTCTCTGTTTAGTCCTTTCCCATTGATGAAAGAGCTAGCCAGAATGAGCTCAGAGAGGTCATGTATTCTGGACCTCAATTACCTCCCTTGTCAAATTAGGAGGCTAAACTAGGTGAGTTGTGAGGTTCATTCTAGTCCTAAATCCTATAATTGAGTGTTTTGCTTTCAGGCAGATGAATGCCCCAAACTCTTGGGACAGATTGCTCTCTATTCTTTTCTTAAGGATCACCAAGGATGGAGAGAGAGCTCACAGTTTGTTCTAAAAACAAAAAGACATTTACATAGCATAAAGGGGACAGAAATCCTTTACCATGGCAGCAGGAGTGCTAGGGACACAAACCACCAGCTTGTCCTTCCCTTCAATGTTTCCAGGGCTTTCTGGAGGTCGATCAAAGCCTCAGAGTGATTTCCATGATTTGGCATTCCTTATAAGAGGGCAAGACAAGACTTGCAAGGACAAATGGGAATTGATGTGTGTCCTTAGCCCTACCTGAAAGAGGCTCAGTGGGAAGTGTTGATTAATCGAGTTGGGAGTGGGAAAACGGTTCCCTAAGGCAAGAAAAAGTGAATGGAATTCCGTCATGTACTTCATCTCAAAGTAATAGCAGAAAACCATTCATTGGGAGGGTAAGTCTTTGGGTCTCCCAGAGGTTGTAAAGCTGTTTAATGACAAAACTGAAAATGTATACACTGACACGGGAGGAGACTCTGCTTCCTCTTTGTGAAAAAGGAATCATTGGCCAGAGAGGCCAGAGAGAAGAGAATGGGCAGCCTCCTTTTTCCTGATAACTTTGGTAGGACTGTGAATACTGGGCTTGCTTGTCTTATCCCCAATCTAAACACGTCACATGCTACTTTCTGCCACACTCTCATCTCTACCCAATTTAGCTTTAACATTTCCTAGTTCTCGGCCGTCTGGAAGTTTCCTCTAATATAAACAAACCTTACTTTGTCCTAGATCTTGTTCTTTCACATTTATTCTTCTATTACTCATTGAAACCTAGTTTTATCCTGAAGACATTACATACGCATACTCCCTCCCCAAAACTGAATGCTCCTTTCTCTCATATCCCAAGAAAGGCCAAGAAAAGGAGACGGCAATCCCCCTCTATTGCCACATTAGGACTTTCCTCTTGGCCACCATCACTCAAACAATTCCCCTGCTTTAAAGTTTATTCCATCTTGGACAGATCCTTGTTTCTGTCTCCTACAGACCTACTGTTCCCTTCAAAAGCCTTGACTTCCATAACCCTCTCACTCATCCCTACCCTACTTGACTGAATTTGCCCAGAAGCCCAATCAAATTACTAGTTAAAACTATGGACTAATTCAAGATGTGGCTCAGCAGTCATAAGCAAATCTGATAATTTTGAACATGCTTCAGGGAATGTCATCAGTAGAAACACAAGTCATAGCATAGGACTACTATTAATTGTCTCAATTGGATGAAGGTCTCTAAGAAGTACCAGGCCAAAAAAAAAGGTGTGTGACTTTTGAGAGCTCAAGCTTACCTTCCCAGAGGACACTCTACTATTGAGGGAGTGGCATATATTGGAATTATACCAGGTTACAACTAATCCAGAATAAGGTATAGGAAAGCAATTGTTACTCCAAAAGGCCTGCAATGCATGGTCATGAAAAACACTCAACAATGATTTAGCGCAATGGAGCCAAGAAAGAACTCTGGACTTGGCATAAAAAAGATTTTACTGGCCTTAGATGACAGCAGATGTAGGAAAGAAGCATGAAACCATTGCTCAATGTGTTCAAGATGAGTGCTACTAATTAATACTGCTCATTTGGAGAGCACAGGACTCATATACCTTTGGAGTTGGTCTACATAGATTTCTTATATCTAGAAGGATATAAGAAAGACTTACATATCATAGTGAAGATGGAACATTTTACATGGTATACCAGGTTTTACATGGGCTTACTAAGCCAGAATCATTAAATCTTAGAGGTTGAAAAGGACCGCAAAAATCATCTACTTCCTCCTTTACCTGAACAAGCACCTCCTTTGACAAATAGTCATCTGACCTTTGCTAAAAATCTGCAG